GGATACATTTGTAACAGTTCTTGTCACATAGTTATAAAGCCAGAAAAATTGTGATTGTTAAAAGAAATTGTCTGCTTTTTGCATGCTATTAATTTCTGTTCTTCGGTGCATTATTTAATTAAATAAAAATTATTGAATGCAGTACTACCATCATTATAAAAACACAAAAAGTAGGGATAAGCATTATCTATAGTCAACAGCAAAAAAAATATGCTTGGGTAAGTACTTTATTTCTTGGTTCTTATGTTTATTCTTTATTTATTATTATAAAAGTAACTAAAATATAAAAATAGAGATTTCTTTAGGTTAGTTAAGGTTAGACTAGGTAAAATAAACAATAATAATAATATAAAAAAATATTTCACGAGGCATGCACACGAGCAGCTCGGAGTAGCTCATGGGTAATGTCATTTAATTGCGTAACTTGAGCCGCACATTCCCCAAATGACTTACAACTTGGCACGAATAGTAGTTAGACACAGTTCAAAGGGCAATAAAACAATATTTAATTACAAATAGATGTATACTGTTACAAGTTTAAAGCTACTTAGGATAAACAAAGGTAGTTTCATACTACATTTGAAGTCATTCTAGAAAGAAAAAGAGGGTATTTTAGAGATTTTGGGGGGGAGGGGGTGCAAGTCAATCAAATTGACCAACCTTGTATAGAGTTAGGGTAGAGAAAATAACAGATAAAATGTAAAGTTTTACTGAAAACAAACATTTGAAATGTATTTAGGAGGTTTTAGAGATTACACAAATGGAAATTTTGAGATGAAGAAAAGTATTTTTAATCTTAACATGAAAATCGATTTGCACAGGATTATTCAAAACAAGTACCCTGTGTTCAAGGACAAATCTATTTTTAGTTTATTAAAAGTACTCCACTAATAAGTATGATTTTTAGTATGTGAAAGGTTTATAATGTTAGCTGAAAGACTGCCAAATTTCCTGAAAATATACGCACTATATCAAAAGTTAGTAGTATCAAGTCTATAAAGACTCTATACAACTACAAAAAGATCACATGGTCAGTCAAATTAACCTAGCCCGTGTGGAGAGAGTTAATAATTAATTTTATAACTTAAAGCTTGAGTTGGTTTTAAAAGTGGTGAAAATAAGCAATGACATGTACTTACTATAATTATTGAAGTACACCAGACAGGCTTAAGGTTCCAGCTATAGTTGGATGTGATCTTAGTTATAGAGGGTTCTTCACAATCTGTGGGAACAACTTGCATTTCCAATATACTGACTTTCTTCATTATCTGTGGCTATACAGGTTAAAGGTCTTGATACATTTAATTCAATTTAAGTTTAGTGATTTGCGAGTGCAGATTGTCCCTAAAAATTGACCCCCTTGGGAAAATTACATTACAGGACTTTATGATTCATTACACAACTTTATAAAACAATATTCTTCTGTTCTGTGGCTGATACTTCTGTAAGGGTTATATCACAAGACGTTCTGACACAAAGTTCTCTTGTTCCACAATGGATTTCTTCTGGAAGGTTACATTACAGGATTTTATGATTCATTACACAACTTTATAAAACAATATTCTTCTGTTCCATGGCTGATACTTCTGTAAGGGTTATATCACAAGACGTTCTGACACAAAGTTCTCTTGTTCCACAATGGATTTCTTCTGGAAGGTTACATAACAGGTCTTTATGATTCATTACACAACTTTATAAAACAATATTCTTCTGTTCCATGGCTGATACTTCTGTAAGGGTTATATCACAAGACGTTCTGACACAAAGTTCTCTTGTTCCACAATTGATTTCTTCTGGAAGGTTACATAACAGGATTTTATGATGCAAACTTTTCCTGTCCTGCAGTTATAGAGTCATGCAAAGTACAAAATGTTAACATGTCAAATAAAATGAGTGCATACAAAGATTGGATACCAAAAGGGGAAAACAATAGGCTGTTATAAAACCAAGTATCAGTTAAACACTGGAAGTAGTGAAGAAAATTAAACAGCTTGTCACCTAAAGTAACCCAAAGACCAAAGTAATCCATTACAGTAAGAGTAGGAACCTTCCTTTGAACTCTTGATGATTCATGCAGATTTACATCTACAAAAGTAATATGAGCCATGTGTATAAACTTCTTCCAAAGCACATAGCCAAACAAAAGATCTAGTGGCATCAGGCACCTGAAAAATGGAAATATGCCATCACCTTGGATGAAGTGTATGTCTAGTTAAGTGTCTGCATCGAAGAATGAGTGTGTATTATCTTCCTGCATGTAATATGATATTTTGAATTTGGTACATAGCATTTCATGAAAGTTTCACCAAGAGATTCATGGTGGTTACAGTTACAATGGTGAAATATTTGAAAGTCAAGAAAAACTCAGCATACTATCAGACTAATGAGCTTTCACTACCATATCAGAAGGAAGTACAATCTTTTTTCTGATACAATACTCTACCTCCGCTCAGACAATAGCTTCTCCCAATTTTGTGTTGCCCTCTACAAGTGCAATTTCTTCACTCTCCACTAGTCTTGTGGCTCCCACCTAAACTCCTGATGCCATATGCTACAACCCTACACCAATAACCATTTCTCACTTTTATTCTCGTTTTGATCCAGATCATCTTCACTGTCCCATCTGTGCTCCTTTTCACAATTCATGCTCCCATCAATGTATTTCTTGAAATTCCTCATCTCCCCAAGATATTTCTCCCATTACCCTTACAGGATGGCCACAGCAGCTCATCTATCTAGCCTACGCTTCATTGGGTGTAGATTCATGTTGACTCTTCAGGTCTGACACCTTACTCTTTCCCTGGCTGCTCATTTCCATCAGCTGTTGGAGGAGATATTGCAAGATGACAGATGTAAAACCCCACATACTTTTGTTGCATATTATTTTCATCATCTGGCCATTTCTTCATTGAGATATAGACTTCCTCCCATCGTCATCTTACATACACCTTACTGACTCTGACTGGGTAGTTCCTTTTTCTTTTTCTCTTACCTTTACAGGGGTCTTGTTCTATCTCTCAGGATCACACTAAGTGGCTTGTGGTGCCTGTTAGGGTATACTTATATGAATATCTGCACCATGTGGCCATTCTGTTCTGTAATGCTGACTGATGACATGGGGTGTTCCACAAGACCAGTAGAAGTTTTCTGGTGGTATCTTAATGATTAAACAAGGCTCGATCCAGACAGTACCTACTCCTGGACTATCATAAGTAAAGTAGTGTCAAGATAGCTGTCCATCCCTCCAGTCCTAGTTGAATAAACTAGGACTGACCTTCTTTTAAAAATAGGCTTTTGTGGTCACCAATTGCACTGTCTTAAGGTGTTGCTTTCCTCTGGCTCTCCAACATGCTTTCACCCCCATTTCTGATATGAAGTATAGGAGTCCTTGCCATCACCAGTTCCTAGTTGCTGGGGTGATGTACCATGGAGACTTCCTCCTGAGTGTGACCAATTCCACTGAGTGGACAGTAGGATGGTGGTGCTCTGTTGCTGTAGATAGTGCAAACCTTCCTCCTCCTGCAGAATGGATGAGAAATTCCTGATGCTGCCTGGTTTTGGACTGGAGTTGGTCCATCAAGTGCAATTCATCCCTCCAGCTGGTTTTCTCCATCCTACCGCTTCCTGGATGTTGATTTCCATGTGGTTTGGTGTTGGATAGGTGCAGAACCAGTCAACATGAGCCCTCACTCATGTGGTTTGTAGGGACCCTCCTCTTACCACAGACCATATGCCAAATATCTCCTTCCACCTGGTTTGTAATTGCTTTCAACTATCATACTGTTGCCTGGATGTCTGGTTCTAAGGTGGCCTGGTTTTGGATGTGTGAAGTGACAACACACATGATCACTCCCTAGGTTGGCAAAACAGAGGTTACTTTCCCTTCTGCTTCCTGGGATTGAAGTGAAGATGGTTGGGATCCTCCTCCTACTGCAGACTAAATGAAAAATACCCGATGCTGCCTAGTTTTACACTGGAGTTGACCCACCATATATGGTCTGATGTGCCCTAGCTACACTACGCGGTTTGGCATGTCCATGTTCCATACGTAGGTTTGGGGTAGTTTCTGCCAGACTTAGCAACACATGTCTATTATGGGTGAAGAATATACCTAGGTGCAGAAGGGGTGTGGTCTCCCAAGTGTGTGCTCCTAAATTTTACCATGGTATATGGTGTCACACTCCATAGATAACTTTTGAACCAACCCCTCCACTAGTTCAATAACCTAGAAAGTAAGACTCCTCTTGCCATGCCCATGCATCACATTCTTTCTTTCACCAATTGCCAAAGTTTTAATCTGTCAAATGACATATTATGTTAAATTGTTTTCTGTACAGAGAATTGTCTGTTTCGCTTCCAGTTCAAACTTTATTCCCAAAGGAAACACATCGAGGAACTTAGCTGAATTTATAATGGCTCTTCTCACCTAGTTAGAAAGCCAGAAAAATTATGGTAGTTATTGGACGTTTTCTGCTTTTTATGTTATTCTGTGTTCTTAGGTGCAGTATTTAATTATATAAAAAATTATTTAGGGTAGTAGTACCATAAGTATAAAATGTAGGTTTTAAGTTTCATCAACAGCATAAAAAATATAACCAATTAAGTGCTATACTGATATTTCTTGTTTCTCATGTGTATCTTTATTTTGATAATGTGAGCCACCAAATGATTTACAACTGTTCTGGCAGGATTATTAGTTTGACATGGTTCAAAGGTAATAAAACAATGAAATTTAAGTAGAAACAGATGTATACAGCTCTAAGCTTTGAGCTATTTAGGATAACAATTGTGGTTTTCTGTTACAATTTATAGTCATTCCTAACTTTTTTTTATGGTGGTTACAAGGTCGGTCAAATCGACTGACCCTGGGTAAAGTTGTAGTATAGAAAATAAGAGATAAAATATAAAGTTCTTCTGAGAAAAAAAAATATTATATTTATTTAGGAGGTTTTAAGGATTGTGAAAATGAAATTTGAACATTTTTAGATTAAGAAGAGTATTTTTATCTTAAAATGAAAATCACTTTGCACTCAGAGTAGTTAACACTGACACCATGTAATTACAGACATTTTTAGTAAAAATACTTAATTAAAATTTCTGATTTTTCATCTGCAAAAGAATTAATGTTTACTGAAAACTTGTCAAATTTAGTGAAGATACATTAAGTACTTTCAGAGTCATAGTATGTATACCACCATGGTTACATGGTCACGTAAAATACGAGTCCACTGTGACAGGTTTAAAACAAATATGATGCTTTTGAAAGCAGTTAAAAGTTTTTTAAATGTATTTTAGCTATAGATGATCCAGATATAATTGGTCCTGATGGAATGGAGAAATTCTGTGAAGACATAGGAGTAGAACCAGAAGATGTAAGTTCTGGGAAAAACCCTACAACAACACACAATAAAATGCATGTTTTATTCAATCATTAAAAATGGTATGAAATTAAATTTTCCCATCATTTGTCTACACAAGGTTCAATCTTTAGAAAATTGTTTAATTAATAACACATGTACAATGTTTATATTTGACGTTTATTAACACAGTTGTCAGCTATGTGAATAGATTGGTTTGCACATGTATAATGTTTATATTGCTTAGTTAATTACAAAGTTATTAGCTATGTGAATGGATTGGTTAATAACACTTGTATAATGTTTATATTGCGTGGTTAATAATGTGTTTGTCTGCTGTGTGAATGGATTGGTTAATAACATGGTTGTCAGCTATGTGAATAGATTGGTTTGCACATGTATAATGTTTATATTGCTTAGTTAATTACAAAGTTATTAGCTATGTGAATGGATTGGTTAGTAACACGTATAATGTTTATATTGCATGGTTAATAATGTGTTTGTCTGCTGTGTGAATGGATTGGTTAGTAACACGTATAATGTTTATATTGCATGGTTAATAATGTGTTTGTCTGCTGTGTAAATGGATTGGTTAATAACATGTTTGCTGTGTGAATAGATTGGTTAGTAACACGTATAATGTTTATATTGCGTGGTTAATAATGTGTTTGTCTGCTGTGTGAATGGATTGGTTAATAACACATGTATAATGTTTATATTGCATGGTTATTAACACCGTGTTAATAGCCTTGCTCTTGATATCCAACTGATGCATTCTCTAAATTTTCTTTCATGGTACCAGTATTTTCGTATAAATATTATAACACTGAGTGTAGCTGTAGAATGTCTGTGTGTTTCTTCACGTTACTTTCAATATCCCATATATTTCTCCAGATTATTTGTGTACAATGGTAACAAAGAAGAATGATTTATGTATAAGAATCAAATATTCACATGAAGTAAGAATGGAAAGACAGATGTGACATGGACTTTAATCAAGTTATCCTTCTTTTTTTGTCAGTAATAAAAACTGGAAAAAATAAGCTGAACATTATACATTATATGAGTATTTCATTGTTTCTCTACCTACATTTTGCAATTATTTCTTTAATTATAAATAATGTAATTTTGGCTAAGATGTTTTCCTAGGATAATAAAATATATTGGAAATTACTCATTAAGTACAATATATGTATAATTGATGTAGTTTTTATTATTTTACATCTAGGTAGTTATGTTAGTGTTAGCATGGAAAATGGAAGCCAAACAAATGGGATTTTTTAGGTTATCTGAATGGCTTAAAGGATTGTCAGATTTACAGTAAGTATGTTTTGTCTTCTCTTGAAATAAAATAATTATATTCTTATACATCACTATAAATGTTTAGTAAAGAAATAGTATTTAAAGTGATTATATTAGGTAAGACAATTTTCACAGTAGGTTTAGCTCCACTAGTTTCAAAAGTTTTTTAAAGACATGCTAGTATCGCTGTTACTGTTTCAAAATTTGTCTCAGTATTGTTAGCACCACTAGTTTCAAGTTAAAGATAGGTAAGAGAATTCTCACCTAGTGTCACAGTATTGTTAGCTCCACTAGTTTCAAGTTAAAGATAGGTAAGAGAATTCTCACCTAGTGTCTCAGTATTGTTAGCTCCACTAGTTTCAATTTAAAGATATGTAAGAGAATTCTCACCTAGTGTCACAGTATTGTTAGCTCCACTAGTTTCAAGTTAAATATAAGTAAAATAATTCTTACCTGTTGTCTCAGTATTAAAACAACATGTGCATTTCAAACACTTTGTTTAAGAAAGAAAAGAGAAGATTATACACAAGGAGGAGTTCTGGCGATATACATCGTAACCAAATTGATTATATAATGATAAAGATTAGATTCTGACACAGTGTAAAAGATGTCAAACATACCTAGTAGCCAAAGTCAACATCAAATTAAAGATAACTCAGTGACCAACTAGATCTGGACAAGTTCAAAGAAGAAAACGTCAAAGAGCAATTTGCAGTTTCAGTTACAAACAGTTATGCCGGACTACAGAATGAACAAGTAGAACAGTTCCCAGTTGAAGCAGAAAGAATAAATCAGCAACGGAAGAATTTAAAGGAAACCAATATTACCTAAACAGGAGAAAAGAAAAGATGTATGATAGATGCTATACTAGAAATGATGGACAAGAGAAGGGAGAAGAAAAACATGCCAGAATATGAATTCATAGATAATAAAATAAAAACAGCTTGCAAAAGAAACATGGTACAGTAAATGGTGTGATGAAATAGAAAATCTAGAAAGAAATTTCAAGGTGAAAGAACTTGCAGACAGAAATAAAGCGAGGAAAGCAGATGGTGATTATATCAAAGATGAAGATGACACCATCTTGTTTGAATAGAAAGAAGTTGGTAATCATTGATGAGCTGGGTAATAACACCAGTCTGTACATACTAGAGTCAGAGGTTAGGTGGGCCATCAAGAATCTAAAGAATGGGAAAGCACCAGGAAAGGATTAGATTGTTGCTGAATATCTAAAAGCCCTTGATGAAGATGATATTAAGATTGTTTCAAATCTGTGCAATCGAATTTACAACAATGGACACCTACCATATGATCTGAGGAACTCTCTTTCTTAAAATCCTGAAGAAACCAAAAGCAATGGAGTGCTCTGGGCATAGGACTATCAGCCTTATGAGCCACTTTATTAAAATTATACTTAAGATCATCATGAGGTGAAATGACAAAGTCATAGAGGACAACACTGATAAAACACAGTCATGATTTAGACCAGGCAAAGGTACAAGGGAAGGAATATTCAATATCAAGTTGGATGATAATGAATCAGAAGAATTTCCTATAAAAAGAGGAGTAAGATAGGGGGTGTATAATCTCTCCAAAACTTTTTAACCTGTGTACAGAGGACATTTTCAAAGACAAGATGCTTAGTAGAATGAATGTTACAAATCTCAGATATGCAGATGACACTGCTTTGATAGCAGAAACAGCAGAAGGACTACAGCAGATTGTAGTTGAGGTCAAGATAAGAAGCTTATAATTTGGACTCACAATGAACATCAAAAAGATAAAGACAATGATAGTAAGCAAGGAACATCAAGACATGGAAAGGATAAACATCGTAGTCTATCTGGACCAGATGATGAGATTCATGTATCAAATCTTTATGATAAATGTGACAGAGAGATAAGAAGACTAATAGAAATTGCAAGAAATACCTTTTGCAAAGTGAGAGATGTCTTGGCAACAAATAACATTAGTGTCCAAATGCAGAAGAGATTAGCTAGCTGCTATGTAATGTCTACTTTTATATATGCTGGTGAAATATGGACAATCAACAAGGATATGGATGAGAAGATCAATGCATTTAAAATGTGGATGTTCAAAAAAATGTTGAGAATATCGTACAAACATAGTCACCAATAAAGAGGTACTTAGAAGAATGTTACTTAATACATTAAAACAATAAAAGTGTAGATATTATGGTCATGTGGTTAGAGAGCAGCCAATATAGAGAATATTATTGGAGGGCAAGACCAATGGGAAGAGACAAAGGGGGACACCAAAAAGGAATTGGATGAAAGACGTATGTAAATGGATACAACTGGACTATACAGGATGCATCAGAGCAGCACAAGGAAGAGAAGACATGGCACATCATGACTGAAATTTCTGTAAGATCCAGAAGCAGTCTCAGTATTATTAGCTCCACTAGTTTATAATTAAAGATACATACCTATTGTCACAGTATTGTTAGATATACGAGTTTCATGTTAAAGACAGGTAAATCTCACTTATTGTCTCAGTATTATTAGCTCCTCTAGTTTATAGTTAAAGATACGTACATATTGTCACAGTATTGTTAGCTCTACGAGTTTCATGTTAAAGACAGGTAAATCTCACTTATTGTCTCAGTATTATTAGCTCCTCTAGTTTATAGTTAAAAGATACGTACCTATTGTCACGGTATTGTTAGATATACGAGTTTCATGTTAAAGACAGGTAAATCTCACTTATTGTCTCAGTATTATTAGCTCCACTAGTTTATAGTTAAAGATACGTACATATTGTCACAGTATTGTTAGCTCTACGAGTTTCATGTTAAAGATAGGTAAATCTCACTTATTGTCACAGTATTGTTAGCTCTACGAGTTTCATGTTAAAGACAGGTAAATCTCACTTATTGTCTCAGTATTATTAGCTCCACTAGTTTATAGTTAAAGATACGTAGCTATTGTCACAGTATTGT